ATGAGGTAGAATTTCTTGGTTGTCTCGATTTTCATTTCCCTAATGATTAATAATGTTGATTATCTTTTCATGAGCTTATTCATTTGTACATCCTCTTTGGAGATATGTGTATTTCAGTTCCTATTAGCATTTTCAATTGTCATTACTCTTTTTATTATTGTGTTGTAAGAATTCTTTGTATATATTACATACATGTCACTTATGAGATATATGATTTACAAATAGTATCTCCCATTCTCTGGGATGCCTTTTCCCTTTCTTGATGGTATTTGCAGCACAAAAGTTTTTCATTTTGATGAAGTCCAACTTATTGTTTGTTTTTTAGTGTTGTATCTAAAAAGTCATTGCCTAAGCCAAAGTCATAAGGATTTATTCTTATGTTTTCTTCAAAGAATTTTATAGGTTTAGCTTTTATATTTAGGTCTCTAATCCATTATATTTTTTTTTCAGATTTTTGTTTTGTCTTTACTTCATTTATAAGTTTATTAGTGATCAGAAAAAGAGTCTAATCCATTATGATTTAATTTTTATATATGGTGTGAGGTAGGGGGTCCAACTTTACTTTTATATGTGGATGACCACTTGTCCCAGCACCATTAGTTGCAGAGACTCTTCTTCCCCCATTTTGTTGTCTTGGCCCACTTGTCAAAAAGTCAGTTGACCATATGAGCACTCATTAGTAGAGTGCTTACCTATTGTATGCAAGGCCCTGAATTTGTTCCCTAGCACTAAAAAGCGGGGGGGACAAAGAAAAAAATGACCATGAAAGTAAAGGTTCATTTCTGAACTTCAAATTGTATTTCACTCATCTCTGTCTAGTGTAATATGAGCACCACATTATTCTGATTATTGTAGTTTTATACAGATTGAGCATCACTAATCTGAAAAATTCTGAAAAACCTTAAATCCAGAATTTTTTGAGCACCAGTAAAATCAATGAAAATATTCCAAAATCCAAAAGTCTCTGAAATCTAAAACACTTCTGATTCTAAGCATTTTGGATAAGGGGTACTCAATCTGTAGTAAGGTTTAAATCAGAAGTGTGAGTTGAACTTTGTACTTATTTTTAAAGATTGTTTTGGCTATTTTTTCCATGTAAATTTTAGAATCAGCTTGTCAACTTGCAAAAAATGTCAACTGGAATTTAGTAGGGAATATGTTGACACCTGTAGATCAATCTGAGAGCCACTGCCATCCTAACAATATTAAGTCTTCCAATCTTATGAACATGGAATATTCTATGTGTTTAGATCTCCTTTAATTTCCTCCAATAGTGTTTTCTACTTTTCAGTGGATGAGTCTTGGATTTATTTGGTTAAATTATTTCTAAGTATTTTATTTTTATGTTGGAATTGTTTTCTTTGTTTTTGAATCATTCATTTCTAGTACATAGACATATAACTGATTTTTTACGTAATGATCTGGTATTGTATAATCTTGATGAATTTGTTTTTTAGCAAATTCTTTGGAATTTTCTCTATACAGGATCATATTATGTTAATACAGATAGTTTCACTTCTTTTCTAATTTGAATACTTTTACTTCTTTTCCTTACCTGGTTGTCCTGGCTAGAACCTCCAGTACAATGTTGAATAAAATTGGTGAGAGTAGGTATCTTTGTATTTTTCCTGATCTTAAGGGGGATGCATTTTAGTTTTCTATCATTACGTATGATGTTAGCTATGTATTTTTTGTAGATGACACCCATTAGGTCAGGTAAGTTCCCTTTTATGCCTAGTTTGTTAGCTATTTTTATCATAAAAAGACTGATGGATTTTGTCAAATATTTTTCTGCATCTATTGAGATGATTATATAGTTCTTGTCTCTTTTTCTAGTAATATAGGGTATTACATTGATATAAGGCAAAACTTGCATTCCTGAAATAAATTCTACTTTCTTGGTGTATAATTCATTTTGTATGTTGATAGTTGCAACTTGCTAGTATTTTGTTGAGGATTTTGCATCTATATTCATAAGAAGATATTGGTCTATAATTTTCTTGTGATCTTTGTCTGGTCTTGATATCAGGATAATGTTGGTTTCTCAAGTGGGCAATATTCCCACCTCTTTGATTTTTTAAAGATGTCATTAATGAGTGTTATTAATTCTGCTTTAAATATTTGGTGGAATTCACCAGTGAAGCCTTCTGGCTCTGGGCTTTTCTTGGTGAGTTGTTTTATTACTTCAGTCTTTTTACTTGTTATAGGCATGTTCATTTTTTCTGTTTTTTAGTTTTTGGTAGCTTGTATTTTTCTAGCAATTTGTTCATTTCATCTAGATTGTCTAATTTTGTTAGTGTACAATTGTTCATAGTATTCCCTTATAATTATCTTTCCCTTAGAAGGTGAGTAGTGATGTTCCCTCTTTCATTTTTGACTTTAGAAATTTGAGTCTTCACTTTTCTTGGCTAATCAATTTTATTGATCTTTTTCAAAAAAATAATTTTTTGTTGATTTTCTCTATTTTTCTATTTTATTTATTTCTGTCCCATTTATTATTCCCTTCCTTCTGCTTACGTTGGGTTTAGGTTATTCCTTTATTCTAGTTTTAAGGTGGAAGACTATATTATTAATTTGAGTGGGATCTTTCTTCTTTTTTTAGTATTGGTATTTATAGGCCTTTATAGCTATAGTTATTTTAGCTAATACAATACTGATAGGTATTAGTAGCTATAATATATGTATTTTAATGTAGGTGTTTATAGCTATAAATTTATAGGCATTTATAGCTATGAATTTTCCTTTAATCACTGCTTTTGTTAGATCCCATATGTTTCGGTTTGTGGTGTTTTAATTTTAATTCATGTTAAGTTATTTTCTAATTTCTCTTATGATTTCTTTGTCTTTTTTTTTTTCCCCTTGTACTGGGGATTGAACCCAGGGCTTTGTACATGCTAGGCAAGTGCTCTACTGCTGAGCTATATCCCCAGACCGTGATTTCTTTTTTCTTGCATTTGTTCTTTAAAATTGTATTGTTTAATTTTCTAAAATTTATGGATTTGTTTGTCATTAATTTTAAATTTATCTATTTGGTGGTCAGAATAGATACTTTTAATAGTTTTGATCCTTTTAAATTAACAGTTAAGACTTCTATTATGGCCTAGCGTAGGGTCTATTGTGAAAAATGTTCCACGTGTATTTTAAAAGGACACATATTCTGGCTGGTTGCAGTGGTGCATGCCTATAATCCCAACAACACAGGAGACCTACAAGTTTGAGACCAGTCCCAGCAATTTATCAAGGCCCTAAACAACTTAGGGAGACCCTGTCTCAAAAATAAAAAGGGCTGGGGATGTGGCTCAGCTGTAAAGTACCACCAGGTTTAATCCTCAATACCAAAAAAAAAAAAAAGCATATATATTTTGTGGGGGTGGAGTGTTTTATATGTATCTGTTAGGTCTAGTTGGTTTAGAGTGCTGTTCAAGTCCTAGATCCTTCCTGATTTTTCTCCTAGTTGTCCTATTCATTATTAAAAATAGAATATTGAAGTCCCTAACTATTAATGTTGCCTATTTCTTCAATTTTGTTAGTTTTTGCTGCTTATAGTTTTATGGCCAGCTGTTAGGTTAATATATGTTTAAATTTTTTTATCTTGATTGACTATTTAATCATTATGAAATATCCCCAATTAACACTTTTTGCTATAGAGTCTATTTTGGTCTACTATTAACATGGGCACTCTAGTTCTAATATTTCCTTTTTTGTTCCTTTCCTTTTAAACTCCTTGTATCTTTAAATATAAAATATGTCTTCTGTATAAAACATATAGTTGAATCTTGTTTGTTTTGATTTGTTTGTTTTGTTTTGATTTGATGAATCTATTCATATTATTGGTATAATTGGATTTGTACCTGCCATTCTGCTTTTTTTTAAAATATATAGTCAATCTTTCATATCCAAGGGTTTCACATCAAAAACAAAAAAAGGTTAAATCTGGAGATGGGGTATAGCTCAGTGGTAGAGTGTTTGCCTAATGTGTGAGACCCTGGATTCAATCCCCAGTACTGCCAAGAATAATAAAAATAAAAATAAATCTCTTCTGACCATATACAGATTTTTTTATTGTGATCATTACCTAAGTAATAGAGTATAACAACTATTTACATGGAATTTACATTAAACTAGATATAAATAAAATAGAGATAATTTGACATATATGGGAGGCTTTCACAGGTTATATGCAAATAATAGATCATCTTATATAAGGGACTTGAACATCTGTGGATTTTTGTATCCATGGGAGATCCTAGAACCAATCCTCCCTGGATACCAAGGGACAACTGTGTATCTTATGACAATTTTGTTCCTCTGTTTCTTCTTTATTTTAAATTTATTTTTGTAAATCTTCTGAGAAGTTTGAATCCAGATGGTTAGCTAACTATGCTAGCCCCATTTAAAAAAATTGTCTCGTTCTACTGAATTGTAATACTTCTGTTGTCATATGTTATTCTAATATATAGTTTGATATATATGAAATTTCTGTGATTTTCTACTCATATATGTCCTCTCTTATGTCAATACCTATTGTTTTGTTTTAGTAAATTAATGGTAAATTTTAGTATCTGATGTAGCCTTTTTATTTTCCTATCTCAAGCAATTGTTTATGTGAATCTTTGAAATCCAAGAGAAGATACTATTTGCAGTCCTTTTAAAATTTAAACACTGAGTTGTGGCTCAGTGGTAGAGCACTTGTCTCGAAAGTGTGAGGCACTGGGTTCGATCCTAGCACCACATAAAAACAAATAAAGGCATTGAGTCTATACACAACTAAAAAAACAATAAAAAAATTAACAAAAAGCATGTGTGTGTATATATACTTGTGTGTGTATATATGTATATATGACATGTACATACCATATAAATACATATATTCACCATGGTATGTGTAAATTTAGGCAATTCATTTAAAAAAGAAACTAGTAAGTAGTAACAGCACATTAAAATGAAACAGAAGATAATTGTTCATGTAACTTTCATTAATTATTGTTTTCTCAACATAGGGTACATACTATGGAAACTAGTGCCATCAGGATATTAAAAGAGAGAATAATTTCACGAAAAACTGACCTCATGCATGCTTTCCAACTTCGGGACCACAGTCGATCAGGTAATAAAATTATATAATGCTTACCATTTCTTAACATATCATGTTACTGTATGTGACATGTATCAGTTTTCATTTTCTTTGCTTCCTTAGGATTTCAGTTCTCTATTTTTGCTAGAATGGAATGATAGAGATAAAAATTTTTAAAATCCATTATTCTCTCAAAAACAGGCATATATCTCATTTTCAGTAAGTTTCTTTTAACTAAAAATATCAAAAACAACCCTGATTTAGACTACTATTCTGGTGAAAGGAAATAGCTAGATGCTGGAGGGGGCATAATTTTAATGCATTTATCAGCCTCCCAGTATGGTAAAACTTCTGGCTGCATTTCCATTCTTTTTGAACCACATGAGGGATCATGGAGCAACATTCAAGCATAAAAGGCTGGATTGTCCTGGGGCAAATGCTAATGTGGTGTAGCAATCGATCTTGACATTAAACTATTGTATAGTAGAAAGGTGGAAAGGTGGAATTTGGAACTTCCACATTATGCTTGTACCCTCAAAGTGATTCTGGGTAGTTGTAAGTATGTAATGTTTCTGATTCCTGTCAAGCAGATCCATCTTTGAGGGAAGAATCCCTAATTTTATCCACTAGTATATCTAGAGATTAAGATTAGCCAATATGGGCTGGGGATGTGGCTCAAGTGGTAACACACTTTCCTGGTATGTGCAAGGCACTGGGTTCGATCCTCAGCACCACATACAAATAAAATAAAGATATTGTGTCCACCTAAAAACTAAAAAATAAATATTAAAAAAAAAAGATTAGCCAATATGAGTTTACAATCAAAGATTACCAAACAAGGAGATGAGCTACCTTGAGTGAGAGTCAGCAGAAATAAACAACAATAGCTTTAGTTCCCCCAAAGACATCAGATATTGAAATTATCAAATACAGAATATAAAATATTTGAAGAAATAAAAGATGGAATCACAAACATGCATTGAAAATAATTTGAACTGATAAGAAAAGGCCGAAAGGCATCAAAATAGGAAAAGAAGAACTTAAATTATCACTATTTGCAGATGACATGATTCTATACCTAGCAGACCCAAAAGGGTCTACAAAGAAACTATTAGAGCTAATAAATGAATTCAGCAAAGTGGCAGGATATAAAATCAACACGCATAAATCAAAGGCATTCCTGTATATCAGCGACAAATCCTCTGAAATAGAAATGAGGACAACCACTCCATTCACAATATCTTCAAAAAAAATAAAATACTTGGGAATCAACCTAACAAAAGAGGTGAAAGACTTATACAATGAAAACTACAGAACCCTAAAGAGAGAAATAGAAGAAGATCTTAGAAGATGGAAAAATATACCCTGTTCATGGATAGGCAGAACTAACATCATCAAAATGGCGATATTACCAAAAGTTCTCTATAGGTTTAATGCAATGCCAATCAAAATCCCAACGGCATTTCTTGTAGAAATAGAGAAAGCAATCATGAAATTCATATGGAAAAATAAACGACCCAGAATAGCAAAAACAATGCTAAGCAAGAAGTGTGAATCAGGCGGTATAGCGATACCGACTTCAAACTATACTACAGAGCAATAGTAACAAAAACAGCATGGTACTGGTACCAAAACAGGCGGGTGGACCAATGGTACAGAATAGAGGACACAGAAACCAATCCACAAAACTACAACTATCTTATATTTGATAAAGGGGCTAAAAGCATGCAATGGAGGAAGGATAGCATCTTCAACAAATGGTGCTGGGAAAACTGGAAATCCATATGCAACAAAATGAAACTGAATCCCTTTCTCTCGCCATGTACAAAAGTTAATTCAAAATGGATCAAGGAGCTTGATATCAAATCAGAGACACGGCATCTGATAGAAGAAAAAGTTGGCTACGATCTACATACTGTGGGGTCGGGCTCCAAATTCCTCAATAAGACACCCATAGCACAAAAGTTAATAACTAGAATCAACAAATGGGACTTACTCAAACTAAAAAGTTTTTTTCTCAGCAAAAGAAACAATAAGAGAGGTAAATAGGGAGCCTACATCCTGGGAACAAATCTTTACTCCTCACACTTCAGATAGAGCCCTAATATCCAGAGTATACAAAGAACTCAAAAAATTAGACAATAAGAGAACAAACAACCCAATCAACAAATGGGCCAAGGACCTGAACAGACACTTCTCAGAGGAGGACATACAATCAATCAACAAGTACATGAAAAAATGCTCACCATCTCTAGCAGTCAGAGAAATGCAAATCAAAACCACCCTAAGATACCATCTCACTCCAGTTAGATTGGCAGCCATTATGAAGTCAAACAACAAGTGCTGGCGAGGATGTGGGGAAAAGGGTACACTTGTACATTGCTGGTGGGACTGCAAATTGGTGCAGCCAATTTGGAAAGCGGTATGGAGATTTCTTGGAAAGCTGGGAATGGAGCCACCATTTGACCCAGCTATTCCCCTTCTCGGTCTATTCCCTAAAGACCTAAAAAGAGCATGCTACAGGGACACTGCTACATCGATGTTCATAGCAGCACAATTCACAATAGCAAGACTGTGGAACCAACCTAGATGCCCTTCAATAGACGAATGGATAAAAAAAATGTGGCATTTATACACAATGGAGTATTACTCTGCATTAAAAAATGACAAAATCATAGAATTTGCAGGGAAATGGATGGCATTAGAGCAGATTATGCTAAGTGAAGCTAGCCAATCCCTAAAAAACAAATGCCAAATGTCTTCTTTGATATAAGGAGAGTAACTAAGAACAGAGTAGGGTCGAAGAGCATGAGAAGAAGATTAACATTAAACAGGGATGAGAGGTGGGAGGGAAAGGGAGAGAGAAGGGAAATTGCATGGAAATGGAAGGAGACCCTCAGAGTTATACAAAAGTACATACAAGAGGAAGTGAGGGGAAAGGGAAAAATAATACAAGGGGGACAAATGAATGTCAGTAGAGGGGGCAGAGAGAGAAGAGGGGAGGGGAGGGGAGGGGAGGGGAGGGGGGATAGTAGAGGATAGGAAAGGCAGCAGAACACAACAGACACTAGTATGGCAATATGTAAATCAATGGATGTGTAACTGATGTGATTCTGCAATCTGTATATGGGGTAAAAATGGGAGCTCATAACCCACTTGAATCAAAGTGTGAAATATGATATATCAAGAACTATGTAATGTTTTGAACAGCCAACAATAAAAAATTAAAAAAAAAAAAAAGAAAATGATTTGAAGAAGAACCAAATAGATATGAGACTTGTTAAACAGAATATTAGACATGTTCAACAGAATATTAGACACTGCTTAAGAAAGAATTAGATTAAGAGTTATGAATAGTAAAATAAGAAGGTTTGGGGCTGGAGCTATGGCTCAGCGGTAGCGCACTTGCCTGGCATGTGTGAGACACTGGGTTCAATTCTCAGTACCACAGATAAATAAATAAAATAAAGGTTTATCAACAATTAAAATAAATAAATAAATAAAGGTTTAATGTATATCTAATCAAGGTACTAAGAGGAGAGAATAGAAAGAATGTAAAATGCCTCAGACTTTTCTAGCACTGATGAAATGCTAAAGTGATAGGTAAAGAGGAACAATGATTCTCAAATAGGTATAAATAAAATTAAATCTTCACCAACATTCACTTTTGAAACTACAAGGCACTAATAGCAAAGAGAAAAATCATAAAAGTTGTTAGGGAGTAAAAACATTGCAACAAAGGCATAACAGTTAAGACTCTTAGACTAATCAACAGCTATAAAAGAAGCCAGTTGACAGTGGAATTGTATACACAATACATTGAAAGTTAATTTGCCAATTAAATCCATTTCAAATGTGTATGCGCCCATTAATATAGCCTCAAAAATATACAAAAACAGAGAGAACAAGTAGAAGTAAGAAAATCCACCATCATGGTGGCAGATTTTAATGCTCTTCTCTCAGGAACAAAAAGAAGAGACCAACACAATATTAGCAACCATTCCCTGAAGGGAAACATACAAAGAATGCTGCACCCAACATTTCAGAATACATATTCTTGTCAAGCACAAATGGAACATTTTAAAAAATTGACCATAAACTGGCACATAAAGCAAATCTCAACAGATTGTGAAGGATTGGAAACATTATAGAATAAACTAATTTTCTGGCATAGTGAAAGCAGCTACAACTCAATAACATAATCTAGCCATAAAATCCTCTTTTGTCTTGGAAATAAGAAATGCACTTCTGAATAATCCTTGGATCAACGAAGAAATCACAGTGGAAATTAGAATAATGAAACCAAATGAAAATGAAAATACAACATTTAAAACTATGGAATGCAAATTAGAGAGGTATTGATAACCTTAAATGCATATATTTTAAAAGATGAAACTGTGATTAACAAAGTGAAAAAATAGTGTTTTGAAAAAACTGGCAAAGTTGATAAAACACTAGTAAAAGAAAATGCATAAGGAAGAGAGTGCACATGCATAAGCACAGATAACTAATGCCAACTTTGAAAAAGGTATTACTGCAGACTAGGAAGATCATAAGATGTATTCTAAAAACTGTAATGCCAATGAATTCAAAATTCAGACCAAATAGACACATTCCTAAAATATACATATTCACACACACACAAATTGACACAAAAATAGAAAATCTGAGAAATCTTGTAACTATTAAATAAATTGAATCTGAAAGTTTAAAACTTTATGAAAAGAAAGCTCTGCTCTCAGTTTTATTAATCATTGCAATATACATTTAAGAAAGAAAAGAAGTCTTATAAAATCTCAGAAATGGAGGGAACACTTCCCAGATTATTTTAGGAGATCAGCATCACCTTGATATCAAAACCTAACAAGAATATTATGGAAAAGGAAAATTAAGGTCTAATCTCAATGATGCATTTAGATGAAAAAAAAATCCTAAATGAAATATTAGCCAACCAGGTTGTTTTTCCCCCTAGGAATGCTAGGAATTCTAGGTTTTTTAAACATTTGAAAATAAATCAATGTAATTTACCACTTTAACAAATTAAAGAAGTCATAATTCTCTCAAAATAAGAAAACATTTATTTCACCTTAGTTTTATGATTTAAAAGAAAATTTAGAAAACTAAATAGAGGTGAACTTCCTTAATCTCACAAAGGATATCTATCAAAGCTTATAACAAACAGCATACTTGATGGAGAAAAAGTGGGAATGAAAGTAAGATGCTCTGGTAGGCTTATGTCCACCTTCTCATTCCCAAATCTTAGTATGGTACCTTATATGAAAAAAGGGACTTCAAGGTGTGATTAACTTCAGGATCTTTACCTGGGGAGATTGTCCTGCATTATCAAGTTGGCCTAATGTAATCACAGTGGTTCTTTTAAGAAGTATGTAGGAGGAGGCAAAGTTAGAAGGGAAGGTTCTATGATGATGGAACCAGATATTGAAATCCTTTGAAGATGGAAGAAGAGGCCCGAAGCCAATAAACATAGGCAACCATTAGAAGCTTGGAAGAGGCAAGGAAACAGATTCCCCTCTTCAGAGCCTTCAGAAGGAACCAGCCTTGCTGACACCTTGACTTTTGCCCAGGGAAGCTAATTCAGACATCTGACCTCCAGAACTGTAAAAGAATACCTTTGTGTTGTTTCACTACTAAGTCTGTGTTAATTTGGTATTGAAGCAATAGGAAACTAATAACAGATGCCCACTATCAGGACATCTGTTAAACATTCTAGTAGGGATGCTAGCCAGTCCAATAAGGCAAATAAAAGAGATAAAATAAAACTTAAAAAAGTAGAAATAAAACTGTCGCTAAGTGTAGACAACTTAATTGAGAATATAGAAAATCCAAAGGAATACACAGAAAAACTACTGGAATTAATAAATGAATTTAGCAAGTTGTCAAACACAAAGTCAATATACAAAAATTTATTTCATTTCCATATATTAGTGTATGTGTTAGAGTCTATTTAGGGTGCAGAAACCACATCAATAATTTGAACTGGGAAATTTAATATAAAGAATTATTAACTAGTAAAAGATGATTAACTATTAAAAAGGATACAAGAGAACTCTTAAAAAAATTTGAAATAGCAAGTATAGAGAGGAGCTATTATCTCTAAAGCTGAGAGAGCGTATTCAAGGATAGTACATACTTAGAAGAATTCCTTAACTCCTAATCAAGGTTGAAATTAAGACCACATTGCCGAGGGAATAGCTCTGGCCCACTAGGTGGGACAGAAGTTTACTAATGGACCTCCACTCAGAGTTGGTTTCCAGCTAATTGGCTAGGACTGAAGAGGATGGAGCCCTCCCACTGTGGTGCCAGTGTAACTCACTAGAAGGGTGGATGCCACTGCATTTACAGTGCACCATTAAGATAAAATATTGCAACAGAGAGCCTGCGTTTTGGGAGCATATTTTTGCCATACTCACGTCAGAGCACTAATCTCCAGGATATATAAAGAACTCAAAAAACTTAACACCAAAAAAAAAAAAAAACCCAACCCAATCAATAAATGGGCTAAGGAGCTGAATAGACACTTCTCAGAAGAAGATATACATTCGATCAACAAACATGAAAAAATGTTTGTTCAACATCTCTAGTAATTAGAGAAATGCAAATCAAAACTACTCTAAGATTTCATCTCACACCAGTCAGAATGGCAGTTATCAAGAATACAGACAACAATAAATATTGGCGGGGATGTTGGGGAAAAGGCACACTCATACATCACTGGTGGGACTGCAAATTGGTGCAGCCAACCTGGAAAGCTGTATGGAGATTCCTTAGAAAACTTGGAATGGAGCCACCATCTGACCCAGCTATCCCACTCCTCGGTCTATAACCAAAGGACTTAAAATCAGCATACTATAGTAACGAGCCACATTAATGTTCATAACAGCTCAATTCATAATAGCTAAACTGTGGAAGCAACTTAGATGCCCTTCAATAGATGAATGGATAAAGAAACTATGGTGTATATATATACAATGGAATATTACTCATCAGTAAAAGAGAATAAAATTATGGCATTTGCAGGTAAATGGATGGAGTTGGAGAATATCATGCTAAGCGAAATAAGCCAACCCCCCACCCCCAAACAAAAACAAAGGCCAAATGTTCTCTTTGATAAGTGGATACTGGTCCATAACAGGGGTAGGGTGGGGTTGGAAGGGAGTTTGGGGTGGGGGGAATGTGAAAAATGGAGGAACTTTCATTGGGCAAAGGGAAGGGAGAGGAGGGAGGGTGCATGGGGGTAGGAAAGATGGTGGAATGAGATGGACATCATTACCCTAGATACATGTATGAGTGCACATATGGTGTGACCCTACATTGTGTACAACCATAGAAGTGTAAAGTTGTGCTGCAGTTGTGTACAATGAATCAAAATGCATTCTGAGGTCATATATACCTAATTAAAATAAATAAATTAATTTTTAAAAGAAAAAGACAAAATATTGGGAAAAATATTTTGAAATATTAAAAAAATCAATCTGTTTACTATTTACATTGTGTTAGGTATTATAAATAATCTAGAGATGACTTAAAGTATATGGGAGGCTATATGTAGGTTATATGCAAACACTTCATCATTTATATAAGGGAGTTGAGCATCTGTGGAATTTTGTATCCGTAAGGGGGTTTTAGAATCAATCCCCCGTGGATACCAAGGGATGACCGTTTATCAAAAGCCTTAAAAATCTGCATACCATTTGATCATTCAATTCCACTTCTAGGAATGGTCCTAAGGAAATAATGGAATAGTTTCATAGCCATTAAAATGACAATATAGATCTATGTTTATTAACATAGATGGAAGTCCATGATGTAAGTAAAATAAAAAATAGGTTAGACTAAATGTTTGTGTGTATGTGTGTTATGCCATATGCAATACATGTATATAAAACATATATAGATGGGGACTGGGGATTTAGCTAGTGGTAGAGTGCTTGCCTAGCATGCGCAAGGCCCTATGTTTGGTCCTTAACCCTGGGTGGGGGGGTGGTGGTAATGCTGGAGTACAATAATATTTGATTTTAAGAAAAATAAACTATATATACATTTATGTATACACATTTATATACATAGAAAAATAGAAGTTATAACATTGTTTTATATTTATTCAAAATCATTTAAAATGAATAATTTTTAATAATCAGAAAAATAAAGATACTTATATTTTGAAAAATTACATTTAATATTTTTGGGAAAAGATATTGGGAAGATAGATGAGAATATACTGAAATATTAAAAATCAAACTAAATTTTTTATCCTTTGTATATTTTTAAATCTTCTATAATAAATAGGTATACCTTAATTCGTTAATCAGAAAAAGGCGAAAACAATCTAATACCCTAAGTATGATTTCTTACACACGACAGTACAGGCAAGATCTGTGGAATATGAAAGACTATCCTTAGTTTTTTCTTCCTCAGAGCTCTAGGACCAGAGTAGGACAGATCATGAAGGAAACCAGCAGGCCCTCAGGCCTCAAAACCCCATGCTGTTACTGGCTTTGCCAAGGGACATACGTATTTTTTGTCAAATTATAACAAATTATATGGGTGCTTTTTTGTTTGTTTATTTTTGTTGTTGTTGTTGTTAGGAAAAATTTCAATAGCCCAATGGGCTTTTTCTATGGAGAGCATTTTGGGGCTGAACTTACCATGGAGATCTCTGAGTTTGCATCTGGTAAACATAGACAAAAATGGAAATGTAGACTACATGTCCAGCTTCCAGGATGTCCACATTGAAAAACCTGTGAAAGAGGCAAGTGACACATAGCCCCAACTAAAACCTGGATGGGGGAAATACCCTTGGGACAACCTCTAAGTAACTCAATCCTTTGAAAAGTTAGGAATGGAATCATCTAATGGATGGGAGTGGCAGTTTCAGAAAAGGCCAAAGGTACTTTGTGGTCTGTTCAGAAAATTTATACCTTCTAAAGATAGACAAAAAGAAAAAGGAAAAAGCTTTGGCATGAAAACTCATGTCAAATATGTGATTCTTGTTTAAGTAGTGTCCAGCAGAAGGGCAGATATGACATTCATTCTTTCATGCAGCATACCGCTTAACAATAGTTAATGTATTCCAAACCATGTATAGACTTGCTGACATGAACTAGAATATGTCTTAAAGAATTTTAAAGCATAAAATCTCTTAATAAAAAGGGAATAGCCCAGGGAGTTATCAGATTTCAGCTCTTATTAGTTAACATTTCATCAGTAATTAGTTATAACATTGAGCTGATTGGAGTTAGGACTTGGTTGATTGTTTGCAGGGAAGATGAGAAAAACAGAAAAGGGAAGTAAAAGTGCAGGTTGAAAGCTAAAATATCCATAGGAAGGAGGCTTTTGGCCTGACTTCAGAAGCAGTTTACCATGGTGATTAAGATCATAGATCTTGGTTTCAGAGAGCTGAGTCAGATTCATAGCTATGTGACATAACCTTTGGGAAAGTTACTTTGTTTTCTAATCTGTAAAATGGACATAATAATGGTCTGTTCCTATTCCTTATGGTTGTCAAGTACTGAATGAAATGAGACACATAAAGCTTTCTGTATGTGTTGGCAATTGTTATTTATTGCTGCCTTTTTACTTTGGTCCCCTAAGGAACACAAGAGCAAGATCTTTTTTTGTTTTGTTTTGTTTTAATTAGTTATACATGACAGTACAATGACCTTGACATATCATACATTTGAATCAGATAGAGCAAGATATTTTATCTGATTAAAGATGGTTGGGCCAACCTGGGCACAGTGGCACAGACCTGTAATCCCAGTGACTTGGGAGGCCGAGGCAGGAGGAACACAAGTTTGAACCCAACCTCAAAATAAAAAATAAATAAAGGACTGGGGACTTAGCTCAGTGGTAAAGCACCCCTGGATTCAATCCTCAGTACCAAAAAAAAATAAAAAGCATGGTTGGGCCAACAGAAGGCTTGCCTTCTCAAATTTATATTTCAATCATATAATTTGAATTAGTGATGATGTCTTGTGTTTGTTACATTTGCTAAAATTAATCTATGTCATTATTTCTTTGTGTTTTAACACTCAGAAAATCTTTGTTTTAGGTCCAATCTACTCTAATTGAAACTCTATACAGATACCGATCTGACCTGCAAATCATATTTAATGTCATTGACTCTGATCGCTCAGGTAAATGAACTTTGATTAGTTCAGTAATAGTAGAAAGAAAAGACTGGCGTGCTTCTCTGAAATTAGAACTGTTTTCATCTGTTTCATTCTTCATACAAAGTTGATGAAATTTGAAGGAATCAAATTCACTTTTAATGTTGTTGTTATTTTAGTTTGGCCCAAAATTCTGTATTTTGGACCATAGAATTCTATACAAGCCCAATAGCCATTGGTCAAACTGGAATAGCTCCTTTTCTAAATCACCAGCATAGATGGAAGAATAATTTACTTTCCATTTTAATATTTTAGTCACTCCTGAAATAAAAATCATTCCTAGAGTTCTGGCTCTGTTTGGGAGACTGGGAGCTATAAAAACTCATTTTCTATTTATCTTTGATGAACAATTAACTTCTTTTCAAACTTAAAAAAATATATATATTAGGGCTGGGAATTAGCTTAGTGATAAAGTGCTTGCCTAGCATGTGCAAGGCCCTGGATTTGATCCCAGCATCACAAGGGAAAACAAAAATCAGCCATTCCCCTACTGCAGAGACCTTTGAACACCAAAAAAACAACAATTAACCCATGTAAGTAAATTATTGCCTATTAACAAGGCAACATCATGGGGCTGGGGTGGTGGCTCAGTGGGAGAGCACTTGCCTAGCATGTGTGAGGCACTGGGTTCGATTCTCAGCACCACATGTAAATAAATAAAATAAAGGTCCACTAAAAATATAAATATAAATATAAATATATATATATAAAAGGCAACATCATTCTTTGCAATCTTATCATTGATTCCCAAGGTACCTTTTCCCTCTGCTTTGAGTTCGCTCTCTGCTCTGTTGTCCTTCCATGTCCCTCACCCTTAGATTTTAGTTCTTGCAGTTTCTCTACTACATCTAGTCCCACAGTTCGTATCCCCTTAACATTTCTTCACTGTTTACTCATTCTGGATTTAGAATAATCTCAGAATGACTTGGTAGTTGAAAGTGACATGTGACATATTGCTGCTTACATTTATGACCTTACCTCCATTTCCGTCAGTGTCTTCATAGTCAGGTATATTAGTGAGCTTCTAATTGGAGCTATTTCAATCAGTGTGGCTTCCTCATCCTTCCCTGAGGTAGGTCTTGAAATGAACACTCACCACTCTCTCCTATGTTCTTTTAGGCCTGATCTCCATGGAAGAATTTCGGGCCATGTGGAAACTTTTCAGGACTCACTACAGCGTTGATATTGATGATTCCCAAGTTGATGAGCTTGCCAATATAATGGACTTAAACAAAGATGGAAGCATTGACTTTAATGAGTTTTTAAAGGCTTTCCATGTAGTGCATAAATATGAGAAGTTGAGCACATCAAATGCCAAGTTTGCTAACTATAAATGAAAGCTTCCCTCAGGCTCCTTGTAAACAGCTGAACTCAAATCACAATCTTTTCCAGGACCACCGAAATTCATAGTCAGTAATCGAGAATAATAGATCCCAATTCCCATCATAAACAGACACAGTATGGGTGTCAGAAGCCCTTAGCAAACTATAATTGGTAGACTAGGTTAAATGTCAGCTGATAAGATTTGCCTCTAATATTGGAACTCACCCATTGCCATTGAGAAGCTGGGTTTGAGCCTAGTGTTGGTCTCTTGGATGCCACCTAATTGGGAGACCGGAGCAGTTTGGAAACATCCTGAAAGGAACCCACAGAGCACCAGAGAGAACTATTAAGTTCAACAACTGTAACTGAGGGATGGGAGGAGGAATACCAAGCTACTAATGGAATAAACTATTTCCATCCTTAAAATGTAATCTTTTTTGGAGATTCCGTAAACCAGTGATCCTTAATTGTGGGGAAACCACTCTTCAGGGAGGGGGACCACATTATATTGTTGGGGAAGACTGTGGGAGAAAAACTTTTTTCATGTCTGATGGTAGTACTAAGTGAATACATTTACATTGATCCCTATAATTAATATGGTCTGATACCTTCATTGATAAGATGGGGCCTTGGTTATGCATATACTGTGCAATTTATTCTGCTATTCTGAACTTGAGTCAAACGTAATGAGATTTTTGTTTAAAAGTAAGTATATGTTTCACTTTTTAAAAAAGTTTTAGAACTTCAAGATCTAGAAACATGCCAGATCCTGTAATCCTGCCTGCTCCACACACCAGAAATAATGGATAAAATTTAAAAAAAAAAAAAAATTTTTTCTTTTACTAGACAACTGAGCTTACAGGAAAGTAAAAGAAACTCCTAAAGGGGGAAAAAGGAAAAAAAAGCATAATTGAAACTATAGCAATATTAATATCAGGCAGGTTAGACTTTAAGGCAAAAAATGTCATTGGGGATAAAAAAAAAAACATCATTACTGAAGAGGAATAATTCACCAGGAAGATATAATATTTATAAATGCATATGCATCTAATAATAAAGGTTTAAAAGTTATATAAAAATTTATATACTTACCAGGTTAAGTTGGTAGAGGGTGATTTTAAAATATTTTTGTCAGTAATTGATCATGTAAATAAAAATTAGTTTATAGATGATTGGACAACTCAGTTAACCCACCTGATGGCCTGTGGTCTTGTGTGTGTATGTATAGTGTTTATATAGATGTGTATATGTGCACACATACAACTCTGCAATCAATTTTAGAGAATATACATTATTTTCAAACCCATATGGAACATATATAAAAATTGAGCACAAAACTTAAATACCAGTCAATAACAAAGATATTACCTTCTCTGATCATAATGCAATTAAATTAAAACCCAACATAGGAGGGGAGGGAATGTGGGGATAGAAAGGATAGTAGAACAAAAGACATTATTACTTTATGACTGCATGACCAATGTGATTCTACAACATGTACACTCAGATAAAGAAGAAATTATATCCCATCTATGTATGATATATCAAAATGCATAAATTCATTCTACTGTCATGTATAACTAATTAAAACAAAAAAATTTAAAAATTAAAAGAAACAAAAAACCCAATATAAAGATAATCATATTAATGAATGAGTGAAAAAGGGATAAAACTGTAGATCTATCACAAAATGCTAAAAAGAATTTCATAAGAATTCTGTGGATAACTTTATGCCAATAATTTTTTAAAAAAAATTTTAAATTAAAATTTCTTAACTTATATAAAAACAAAAATTATAAATATTTATGAGGTTCTATGTGATGCCAATAATTTTTTAAACCAAGTGAATGGACTATTTCCGCAGGAAAAACATAATTTAGTAAAGCTAACTCAATAAAAGGGTCTGAAGAGACATTTAAGCATTGAAGAATGTAATGGCTTTGTAATGGGTCAATTTGGTTACCTTGAACTTCCTTTCTCAGAATTCCCTTGCTTAGATGTTTCTGGTTAGGGCGGGCCACAAGGAAAATTCTTGAGAGATTGGAAGTAGTAGCCATTTTGTACTTTACACATGTTGTTACTGATCTACTGACATCTTATTGACATAAAGTTGCAGTTAGGCCTGCAATTTCTCTTTATTTCCCTGAATCCTCTGTTAGCTTCTTTGATTTCTGAGCTGTGAATGTGTGTTTAACTTCTTGATGTAGAGCTCTGGATTCTGCAGGACTCCCCATCACCAAGGTCAGAGGCAATAAGAATGGAAAGCTTCAGTACCTTTTTGTGGGGTGCCAGCCTATGTGTGTGGGTTTCAGTCTGTTATCTTCCTGATTACCTGCTTTCTGAACTTCAAGCACTAGCATCAGATATGGAGACCATAGCCTTATAGAGACAGCTTAATTAACTCCCGCTTGTGCACACACACACACACACACACATAGAATCAGTATGTACACACAAAGTCGTGTGTCACTTAATGACGGATATGTTCTGAGAAATGCATCACTAGGCAGTTTCATCATGGTCTGAACACCATAGAACATAACTAAACAAACCTAAGACAGCTACTATGTCACTAGGCAAGATAATCTTATGGGACCACCATCATACAGGCAGTCTGTCATTGACCAGAATGTAGTTATGTAGCACATGACTATATTTCTTACTGGTTCTACCCTGGTTGAACCCTGACTGGTACAGAATTTGGTACTGAAAGTGATTCCAGAACAACAAAAGTCTTAAGAATGAGTGTTTGTCCTGGGTTTTCTGGCATTAGGTCCCTAGTCTGATTAGATTTAAAGGCACCAATAACCTTCCCAGTGATAAAGAGGAATACTTGTAGTCCATCCCATGAAGCAGCAAAAGTTAAATTATCACCTTCAATCAAGCACTTATACAAGTCAAGACTCTGGAAGACCAAATATTTGCTATCTTAGAACATCTTTGTTAAACTAAGTATAGGAGGATTGATTGGTTGCTTGCTGAAGAAATTAGAGAAGTACAGGACTTTAAATTCACAGCTTAAGGTCTTCAGAAAGGATTTGGGGAAAAAAAAAAAAAGCTTCTATAGCCATAGGGCTGAGATTTCTGAAGGCCAAACCCAAAGTCTAATCCTGGGATTGGTTGAACACAAATTAACAACCTCATAAGGTCACAGCTATGGTTGACTGTTCCTTCCAAAAATCAAGTTGAAATTTAATTTCCATTGTAACAATGTTACAGTGTTAAGAGATAGCATCTTTAAGTGCTATCTTAGTGTTACAAGTGTTAAAAGATAGCATCTTTAAGGGGTGATTAAGTCATGAGGGTTCTGCCATCATGAATGAATGAATACTGTTATCCTGGGAGGGTTACTGATAACAAGGATGAGTTTGGCCCAATTTTCCTCTCTGTTTCATGTGTGTTTGCTTGCCCTTCCACCACATTTGGTGCAGCAGAAAGGCCCTTGCCAGATGTTGGATTTCCCAGCCTCCAGAACTGTGAGGCAAGTATACTTCTATTGTTTATTAGTTACTCAGTCTGTGGTTTTCTGTTATAGCAACAGAAAAAAGGCTGACAACACTCTTTTTGTTGTTGTTGTTGTTGTTACACTGAGGAATCATTCATTGGGAAGGAATGGCATCCCAAAAATTTAGATGAGATCCTATGGGCAGGTTCTAATGTACATTTTATTTTCCAGGAGAAGCAGCCCTTCTACCTCTGCCTGAGGAATTGCTCTTCCCCTTTGCCTGAAGGACCTGTAATGCAAGGCATTTCTGATCCTTCTTGGGACCTTCACCCACCACCTCTATTTGGGTATGCTAATCTGACCCTATTTGGAAACCCAGGAGTGCTTGAAGGAATGAAGTGCATCAAAGTGGTAAATGTATGGGTAAAATATAAATGAATAATAACCTCATATAGGAGCTAAAATATACAGTGACTAAATGATAACAATAGTATATAAGTTTAAGACAAAAAAAATGGAATTAAAGTGCTCTAAAATCAGTTCATTATCCAGAAACAGAGTCAAAGCAACAATTAATATTAGATTTTGATAAATAAAGAATACATGTTAAGCCAGGCACAGTGGCACATGCCTGTAATCCCAGCAACTCAGAAGGCTGAGGCAGGAGATCCCGAGTTCAAAGACCAGCCTCAGCAACTATGAGGCGTTAAGCAACTCAGTGAGACCCTGTCTCTAAATAAAATTCAAAATCGGACTGGGGATGTAGCTCAGTGGTTGAGTGCCCCTGAGTTCAATCCCCGGTGACCAGAAAAAAAAGAATACGTGTTATAATGCTGGGTGCGGTGGGTGGCACACACTTGTAATTCCAGCGACTTGGGAAGCTAAGGCAGGAGGATCACAAGTTCAAGTTCATTCTTTGCAACTTAGTGAGACTCTTGTCTCAAAAAGGACTGTGGATATAGCTCAATAATATATGATTTCTAATTTATGGAAGGAGAAATGGAATAATAATTTTAAGAAGTCAATAGTAATATAGTAGATTTAAACATGAACATAACAAAAATTATGTTCAGTATAAATTGATTAATTAACCCAATGAGGAAAACACAGGTTTTAATACTTCAGAACCATTTCCAACTAAACGGGCTTCTGGAGTAAGGCTCAATCATCCTGACTGAATTCTCCTTTAAGTAACCAGACTGAGCTGTCCCACCAGCTAGCTGGAGATGCATGAGTGAGTACAACTGAGTTTACCTGAGCCTGATCCAGGCCAGAACTGCTCAGCTGAACCTAGCCCAGATTGCTGATGTACAAAGTTATGTCCAAAAAACAAATTATTGTTTTAAGACATGAAAATTTAGGGGCAGCTTATAATGTATCAAGAACTAAATGATAAGGAAATTGATATTCACAAATGGGGCTCTGTCCTAATAAAAAACTGAAATGTGTGTCATTGGCTTTGAAACAAGGCATTAAAACAAAGGTTGGTAAATTAGTTAGGAAACTGCTATAATGGAGTGAGTGCACGCACACACTCTCTCTCTTTCACACACACACACACACACACACACACACACACAACAATTTCCAAAACTGTCGTCTATGTTAGCATGGAAATGGAAAACACTCTTAAAAGAACTTTTGATTGATAAGGAGATCTCCATGCAAAATGTTAAAATTAACAGCTGGCTGGTCCTTGTGGTATATAGTAGAGGACTAGAAAAGAGACATAAGCTAAAGTAAGAGCTATTCAGTTTGCAAGCAGAATTAAGAAGAACATAAAGAGGCCAGAGCAGTAGACTGAGTTGGAAAATAAAAGTGTTTTTCAACTTTATTATCCTGCTAGCAAAAGATTTTCAAAGTAAATTAAAACCTGAAGGCAACTCTGCTTCTGGCTGAGAGAATAACAAGGACCAGATTTATTCACCTGCCTGAAACAACTAAAACAACAAAAATAAAAACACAAGCTGTATGAAACTACAGTTTTCAAAATACTGGGTATCAGGCAATAAAGGACAATTATCCTGGAGAGACAAGAAACAAATGAAATGAGCTCTACATTGCCCCAGTTTACTGCCTTAAGTTAGTTTATAGGCTATGACACAGCAAGGGAAAATGCAGGCAAGGCCCAGAAGAATCCCTAAATTGGGAGACCTATATGGCTAGAATCTATAGGACATAGAATTGGAGAGAAGACAATTGGAACTCTGGAGACTGGCTGAGGATTTCCTCTTAAGTATTCAGCAGGGGACTAAGCAGTGTGTGTGCATGAGGAAACTACCTGAGACCAGGGAAACGACCACACAGTGCTCACTTAGGACTTCCTAGAATAAAGCCTTGTCCCACTAATGATTGTGGAAAAATCTCATAATTTAGGACATTGGGTAGAGTACTCCAAATGGCTTTGCCTCAGTGGCAGAAAATAATGAGCTTTAAGAGTAAACACTGCTCTGATTCTGCCTTACAAATATGAAAAGCAAGACCTAAAAAGGCACAGCAGTTTCCAATGAACTGCATCCCAGAACAAAGCCCAAGAATGTAGGAATACAAAAATACCTAGAACCTCCAAAAAGTGAAATTCATAGTGTTTGGCATTTAACCAAAAATTGCCAGGCAGGCAAAGTGTCATAATGTACAGAGAAATCAAACAATTGAAACTGACCCCGAATACAGATGTTAAAATTGGCAGACAAAGTTATTTAAACACTTATCACAACAAAATTCCATGTGCTCAAAAGTTAAAGAGACATGGACAATAGTGCCGCAGTCTGGCTGGGCACAATTCAGGAGCCACTTGTCAAAAGAAACAAACTTTATTTTTAGAACCATACACCAAACCACACAGCTCCTCAGGAAAAACCTTCAGAGCCCAACTGCCACCACCGGCTTCCCACAAGCCTCTCAACCTCCCCCCCTCCTCCTGCTCTTGAGGCCGATTGGCTGGGTCGCATGGGCAGAGCCAAAAAAAGTCCCCCAATGAGCAGCTCCATGGTCTGAAAGGGCGGGGAAACAGCCCAATGAGCATCACCGCAGAGGAGCCAATCAGTTGGCAGCTAGAAGTTGCTGGGGCCGCTGTGAGCCAATCATCAGCTGGCAGCTGGAAGTTTGCTGGGGCCCCTTTCCGCTGTGGCTCTCAACATCTCCCCCTCTCTGTTTAAACAACAAGCATGTGG